GCCGCCTGTTCTTCTTCGAAGTCTGCAGCATCTTCAGGGATGGCGGGCGGATCCTTGGAACAACGGGGCGTTCGCTTCGGGCCTCCCCGAGCAGAAGACGGACACCCGCACGGGTGCGCGACAGCTGCGCCGACGGAGAGCGGCTCCCGCCGCCCGCTCCTCCTCACCGCGCTCATCCAGCCTGCTTCTGCTGCTGCTGCGCCTGCTCCTTCCCCTCCTCCTCCTCCTCCTCCTCCTCCTCCTCCTCCTCCTCCTCCTCCTCCTCCTCCTCCTCCTCCTCCTCCTCCTCCTCCTCCTCCGCCTCCTCCTCCTCCTCCTCCTCCTCCTCCTCCTCCTCCTCCTCCTCCTCCTCCTCCTCCTCCTCCTCCTCCTCCCTCCCTCCTCTCCTCCTCCTCCCCTCCTCCTCCTCCTCCTCCTCCTCCTCCCTCCTCCTCCTCCTCCTCCTCCTCCTCCTCCTCCTCCTCCTCCTCCTCCTCCTCCTCCTCCTCCTCCTCCTCCGCCTCCTCCGCCTCCTCCTCCTCCTCCTCCTCCTCCTCCTCCTCCTCCTCCTCCTCCTCCTCCTCCTCCTCCTCCTCCTCCTCCTCCTCCTCCTCCTCCTCCTCCTCCTCTCCTCCTCCTCCTCCTCCTCCTCCTCCTCCTCCTCCGCCGCCGCCGCCGCCTCCTCCTCCTCCTCCTCCTCCTCCTCCTCCTCCTCCTCCTTCTCCCCCTCCCTCTCCTCCTCCTCCTCCCCCTCCTCCTCTCCTCCTCCTCCTCCTCCTCTCCTCCTCCTCCTCCTTCCCCTCCCTCCCTCCCTCCCTCCCTCCCCTCCCCTCCCTCCCCTCCCCTCCCTCCCTCCCCTCCCCCCCTCCCCTCCCTCCCTCCCTCCCTCCCTCCCTCCCTCCCTCCCTCTCCCTCCTCCTCCTCCTCCTCCTCCTCCTCCTCCTCCGCCGCCTCCTCCTCCTCCTCCTCCTCCTCCTCCTCCTCCATGGGGCCCTTACTTGAGACGTCCTCGAAGCTCGTGGCGAGAGGCGCGCAGGCCTTGTGCACCGTGCGCAAAAGGGTGGGGGGCGGGCCCTCTGCATGACGCGGGGGTCCCGCTGGAAGCCTCGCGGAGCAGCAGGATCGCAGCTGTCTGCTCGCATTGCGTTGGCGGCGCGCAAAAGGGGGTAGGGGGAGGGGGGAAGGCTTCTTAGAAGCACCCTGCTTCTTAGAAGGCCTCAAGCGTACGTCATAGAAGGCCCGCGCCTTCTGAGAAGCAGGGGTGTTTCTAAGAAGCCTTCCCCCCTCCCCCTACCCCCCTCTGCGCGTTGCCGATTGCGCATCCCTCGCTCGAGGGACGCGAGGCAGTTCCTGTTCAAGTGGGGGCCCTCGCCTGGATGGCCGACCCAAAGGGCCCTGGTCTTCCAAGGAGGGCGCTTCAAACAGGGGAAAACTGGTTGTAGGAACATGTGAGAGGGGATCTTGGGACAGGAGGGTGAATTGCAGCCTCCTCCTCCTCCTCCTCCGTCTTTCCTTCTCCTCATCCGTCTCATCCTCATCATCACGCCTCCTGAGTGCCTCCCTGCCTCCCTTCCTCGCTCTTCCCTCCGCCCATCGCCCGCCCCAAGCATCCCTCCCTCCGTTCCCCCGCATTCTGCCCCAGGCATCCCTCCCCTTCGACCCCACCTTCCTCCAACGTCCTCCCCAGACATTCGGCCGCTCCAACTGTTGTTGGTGCGGGAGCCCCAAAGTCTGAGCCACTTCCCTAGGGCCGCTTTTTCGTCCTGAATCGTTTTTTTGACGGTCCCGAGGCCCGGCGAAAGCTCCTGGAGGCCGAAAATAGCCCCAGACCCGCCGCTCCGATTTTCTTGAGGCGCCAGATCTCTGGGTACTTTCCTCCTCCTGGCCAACTCTGCTGACAGGCTCCCAGCTCTATCGTCGCCGCAGTCCAAGAAAATCGTATTGGCCTCTCCGTCTCCGCCGCCCCGGGCCGAGGCCTCAGCAAAGGGGCAACGATCAGGGGGGGACTGGCATAGGGGGGGATGCATCGACCCAGAATCGTCGATACATCGCCGATAGATCGGCGATAGGCCTCCGATGGTGAATCCGCACCTCCCTGGGCAGGCTGGGGCCATCGGGCCCCTATCGGCGATTAATGGGCGATTGGGGGTCGGTGCACCCCCCCCTGTGCCTATCCCCCCCTGTCGCTGCCCCCAATCAGCCCTCGGCTCGCAAAGAGAGGCCGCCGGGGCGGGGCGAGCCTGGCAGTGGTCTCTGACAAGCTCCAGACCTGCCTGACTTTCTCCCATTGGAGCAGGGACCGACCGTCCTGGCAACCCTTTAGGCCTACCACGACACGTTCTGAAAATAGAATAATGTTCTGTAGACAAAACAATGTTCTTAGAACAGAAAGCCGACGTAATAAAACAAGACAGTCTCGGCCAGAAATGTTCTAATAACACTTCGTGCAAACCACAAAAGGTTCTTAGAACATTCTTCGGTGGGCCTACAGGAAAGCCAGGACGCTTGTCCACTGCTTCATCCATTGCCCTCACTCCCCTACTCCTCCTCCTGAAGACGAAGCCAGGACGAGGAAAAAATCGGGTGAGAACAGATCGAGAACCTCTGAGTTCTGGAGGCTCTGGGGGATGTCTCGGGCGCCGCGGCCTTCCCAAAGCGTTCCAGAACGCTCTGGGAGCATTTCAGCCGGCCTCTCGGGCGGGTGGCACCTCGTCCTCCTCCTCCTCCTCCTCCTCCTCCTCCTCCTCCTCCTCCTCCTCCTCCTCCTCCTCCTCCTCCTCCTCTTCCTGTGGGAGGTGTCCCAAATTGGGGATGAATAGAGGGACCCCGAAGGGGCCCTTTAGAGGGCCCCTTCGGGAGCCAGCGGGTGCCCAGATGGGGCCCCCAGGGGGCCCCTTTCAGAGTTATGTCGGGCATGTCCCCCTGCAGGGGGATGTTCGACGAAAAATAAAATAAACAAAAAAAACACAAAAAAACAACCCCAAAAAGGAATATAGAAATGTAAGGCATGGCAACGTTTCGAAAACACCTCATTGGGCGACGGGCAAATGCAATGCTGAATGTATCGATCTTGATGTACCGTGCCGAGGGCTGTGCTGTGCTACGCCGTGCTGAACTGCGATGTGCCATGCCGCGATTGTGCTCTATATAGCGTTGTGGATCGAGACCTCCCTGGCATCCGAGTCCTGACCGAACTGATCTGGATGTTAAGCTCGAGCTGCCTGAGCAGATGGTTCTTGCCCCAGAACTAATCGACAGAGGGGACATGCCAGGAGGACGCGCCGCGGAACGTCCCAAGGGACGCGCCAAGCGACGTGCCAGGAGACGTGCCATGGGCACGCACCGCGGGACGTGCCAAAGGGACGCGCAACGGAACGTGCCAATGGACGTGCCGCGGGACGTGCCAGGGGACGCGCCGCGCGACGTGCCAGGTGGACTCGCCACAGAACGCGCCAAAGAACGTGCCAAGATGCAATGTGAAATGTATCGATCTTGATGTACCGTGCCGACAGCTGTGCTATGCTGGGCCGTGCTGAATTACGATGTGCCATGCCGCGATTGTGCTCTATATAGCGTTGTGGATCGATTCAACCCTGGCATCCGAGTCCTGACCGAACTGATCTGGATCTTGAGCTCGAGCTGCCTGAACACATAGTAGCTGCCCCAGAGCTAATTGACAGGAGGACATGCCAGGAGGACGCGCCGCGGAATGTCCCAAGGGACGCGCCAGGCGACGTGCTAAGGGACGTGCCATGGGCACGCACCGCGGGACGTGCCAAGGGGACGCGCTACGGAACGTGCCAATGGACGTGCACCGCGCGACGTGCCAAGGGGACTCGCCACGGGACGCTCCGCGGAACGTGCCAAGCAACATGCCAGGCTGCAATGCTGAAGGTATCGATATTGATGTACCGTGCCGAGGGCTGTGCTGTGCGGCGACCTGGACACGTGAAAACACGCGTTTCGCTGAAGACGTTCTCAGTACATCCTCATGCTAGACATCCGCCTGGGCAACCTGGACACGTGCAAACAAGCGTCTCGATCGAGACTTCCTCGACACATCCTCATGCTAGACATCCGCCTGGGCGACCTGGACACGGGAAAACAAGCCTCTGGTTCGAGGCATCCTCAACAAATCCTCATGCTAGACATCTGCCTGGGCAACCTGGAGGTGTGAAACCAAGCGTCTCGCTCGAGACGTCCTCAAGACCTGGACACGTGAAAACAAGCATGTCACTTGAGAGATCCTCTGAATTCAGGTCCCCAGGAGAGGACTACATATATATATATATATATATATATATATATATATGTATATATACATATATATGTATATATGTATACCACCAAACAAGCGTTTCGCTCGAGACATCCTCATCAAATTCTGATAACCAAGCTTTTCGCTAGGGACATCCTCAATTTTTAATTCGCCAACCCTGCGCGACCTCGTCATTTATCGCAAAAGAAATTCGCCGGCCCTACAGCCGTCAGATCCGGGGGCAAACCCCTAAAAGAGAACCCTGGGCCTATGCCCTTTCCGGGAAAAAATACTCAAAAAATAGTCCCCAGACTATGTTTGGACTATTTTTGGGCATTTTTGGGGGTATTGCTCTATTTTTCGTCGAAAATCCCCCTGTAGGGGGACAGGCCCGACTTAACTTCAGGGCCGCCTTCTTCACCCCCCATTTGGGCCACCCCTTCTTATCACCCGCCCAATCCTTCTCTCCCCCCTGCTCGCCATGCTCCCGGCCAGCGCGTCACTGCAGGAGGAGTGGCCGGCCTTTGGCCACTTCCACGTCGTGTGCTCCGACTTCCGGGGCTTCGGCATACACAATTTATTATAAATCTGAATGTACATATATATATATATATATTAATATGATTATTATTATTAGTATTATTATTATTAGTAGTATTATTATTATTAGTAGTATTAGTATTATTAGTATATATAGTTATAGATATATATATATATATATATACATATATATATATATATGCTAACCATGCTCCCAGCAGTCCTGGTCTTGTCGGCCCTGGGCCTGTTCACGCGCCACTCGAGGGCGTGCTCCTTCCCGTCCTGGTGCCCGCCCGGCCCTCCGAGCGGGGCCGATGATGGCGGCGTGGGCGGCGCGCGCTGCCACGGGGGAGGTGGCCGTTTCGGGCTCCTCCTCCTCCTCCTCCTCCTCCTCCTCCTCCTCCTCCTCCTCCTCATCCTCCTCCTCCTCTTCCTCGTCCTCCTCCGCCTCCTCCTCACCTCCGCCTCCTCCTCCTCCTCATGATCATCCTCCTCATCCCCGTCGGAGGCCGTTTCGGGGGCCTCTCTGGCCCATCTTTCGAACGGGGGATCGACTGCAGAGTGGGCTACCCCAGACTTGCATGTCTCGTCGAGTCTGAGGGATTCGAACCCCAGAAGTCCCAGCAGGTGTACGAACATTCACAACGTGTTCGTCGTCGTAGATGCGATGGGGAATATGAATTCTGGGGTAAATCGACTATGTTGTCGATCCCCTACTCGAATCTTGGCGGATTGAGGGAGGCTGTTAGGGCTGTCTTGGAGCTGTCTTGGGCCGTACAGGCACCGTCTTGGTTTTCTGGGGGGCGCTCGTAGGCCGTCGAGGTCCCGTTTGCCGTCCCCCGTCTCCACACTCGTATCCCTCCTGCTCCTCCCCGTCTTCGCCTCCCCCCGCGTATCCCAGGTTCTGCTCCCTCAATCTCTCGCCTCTCCTTGCTCCCATCTTCGGCCCCCTCTCAGCCATTGCCACCCTCGCTCATCGTCCTCCTCTTCCTATCATCCATTATTCTCCCCGCTCGATTCCAGGGACCGCCATCTCCTATCCTCGTCATCCTCCTCCGCCCCCTTCTACAGGGAGAACCTCGTGCCACGAACTTGCATCCTCCACTTCCCCTTCTCCCTCCCCCTCCTCCTCCTCCTCCTCCTCCTCCTCCTCCTCCTCCTCCTCCCTCCTCCTCCATTTCTTCTTCCCTCCTCCTCCTCCTCCTCCTCCTCCTCCTCCTCCTCTCCTCCTCCTCCTCCTCCTCCTCCTCCTCCTCCTCCTCCTCCTCCCTCCCTCCTCCTCCTCCTCCTCCTCCTCCTCCTCCTCCTCCTCCTCCTCCTCCTCCTCCTCCTCCTCCTCTCTCTCCTCTCCTCCTCCCTCCTCCTCCTCCTCCTCCTCCTCCTCCTCCTCCTCTCCTCCTCCTCCTCCCTCCTCCTCCTCCTCCTCCTCCTCCTCCTCCTCCTCCTCCTCCTCCTCCTCCTCCTCCTCTCCTCCTCCTCCTCCTCCTCCTCCTCCTCCTCCTCCTCCTCCTCCTCCTCCTCCTCCTCCTCCTCCTCCTCCTCCTCCTCCTCTCCTCCTCCTCCTCCTCCTCCTCCTCCTCCTCCTCCTCCTCCTCCTCTCCTCCTCCTCCTCCTCCTCCTCCTCCTCCTCCTCCTCCTCCTCCTCCTCCTCCTCCTCCTCATCCTCCTCATCCTCCTCATCCTCCTTCCCCCTTCTCTTCTTCCTCCTCCTCCTCCTCCTCCGTAGCCATTTTGGCTCAGACCAAGGGGGGGTCCTTGGTCGGCACGGGGGCCCTGATGCGTCAGGCGATGGCGGCTGCTGGCGAGGCGTCGGCGGCTGGGGCGGTCGCTGGCGATGCGTCGGCGGCTATGGCGGCGGTCCCCCGCGGGACCCTCGCCGCGGGCATGCGGAAAGGGCTGCAGGAGTGGCTGCTCCGCACTGCAGTGGAGGCAGCGGCGGGGGCGGCAGCACGCGCCAGCCCCGCGCCGCCCTGCCGCGCGCGCTGCGTCCTCGGCGCGCTCGACGAGGTGCTTCTGGAGGCGGGGCGCTGCTTGGCCCTCTCGGGCAAGGCGTCCACCGAGGACGTGCGTCGGAGCCTCCAGCGTGCGGGGCGGGGCGGCCTCGCCGAGGCCGGGGCGGGGCGGCGGGCCCTGGCCCACCCCCCAGGGCCAGCGTGGCGAGTAGCGCGTCGCGGAGGCGCTCGCCGAGCTCGCCGAGGAGAGCTGGGAGTCGATGAGCTGCTCGGAGCTGACGGCCAGCACCGGCGACGCCATGGAGTTCAACACTACGGCGCAGGACGAGGCGGTCGTGTCCGACACCCAGTCGGCCATACCACAGGTTGACGGCGACGCGCAGGACAAGCAGCTCGAGGCGAAGAAGGACCTCGTGCACTAATTACTGCGTCACTGCGCGGCACACGCAGCGGGAGGAGCGGCTGCAGGGCATGCTCGAGTTCGGGGACAAGCAGAAGATCGGGAAGGCGGTGCAGAGCACACTCTACTGGCCGGACCAGCCCAAGTTCGCCGGCGTCGACGAGCTCGAGGAAGCAGCACGAGCTAGGGGGCATCGTCACCCCGGTCATGTTGAAGCACGGCATCGGGAACTGCCACGACGAGGGCAGGGAAGGTCGAGGTGCGGCGGCTCGACGACTTCGGCGCGGGGGAGGGCGGCGCGCAGGTGGAGCTGACGGGCGCACGGCCACAGCGGCGCCGTCGTAGGCGAGGACGATGCGGCTCCTCACGGGCGACACACGCCGGCGACGCGCGGCTTGGCCATGACCGTGGTGATGCTGCTCGTGCGGGAGGCTGCGCCGGCGACGAGGTCGACGAGCTGCGCAAGAACGGCGAGGCGGCCGAGAAGATTGTGGTCGATGCGGACATCCTGGAGTCGGCGCGGGACCTCCTGAAGGCAGGCGAGCCCAGAATCGAACCGACAAGTCGGATCGGCGATCGGCATGAATCGGATCGGCGGAAATCGGCAGCCGAGTCGGAAGACGAATCGACTAAAATCGGCAGGCTTGTAGGCCTCCCTTGAGAAGTCGAAGCCCAGATCGGAATCCCAATTCGGATCGAATCGGCCTCAGAAGCCAGCGAAATCGAATCGGATCGAATCGGAGGAATCGAAACGAGCCCTGCGAAGGTCATGGACGCGGAAGGCTGCACGGCGGAGGCGAAGCGCTCCGCGTTCGTGGAGGTCTTCGTGGCCAGAGGCCACGCGCGCGCGGAGGCCGGGGAGCTCGCGTCCGCCTACCTCGCCGGCTGCGCGGGGTCGCGCGTCGGGTGGCCTGGTCCTCTGTGCTGGGCGCGGCTCGATACGCCTTGGGGGCGGCCTCGGGCGGCCGTCCCCGCGGGGGTGGCTTCGGTCCGCCTGGGTGGCCCCTCGGGCAGTCCAGGCGTGGGCCGATGCCCGTCGGGGCTGCTTCGGGGCCCCCTCGTCGCCTGGGCGCCTGGCTGTGTCGCGAGCCGGCGGCGGCGTGTCTTGACACGACATCTGGGGCCCTGGCGGTCGTCTCCTTGCAGACGGCCGCCAGGGCCTCTTTGATGATGGTCCATCCATCCATCCATCCATCCTCCTCCTCCTCCTCCTCCTCCTCCTCCTCCTCCTCCTGCTCTTCATCCTCCTCCTCCTCCTGCTCTTCATCCTCCCTCCCCCTCCTCCTTCCACTTCCTCCTCCTCGTCCTCCTCCTCCTCCTCCTCTTCCCCCTCATCCTCCTCCTCCTCCTCATCCTCCTCCTCATCCCCTCCCCTCCTCGGCATCCAACTGGTCAACGCACCCTGTTTGCCCCGCCCATTCCTCCCCCCCACTCTCCCTCCGCGTCCCCCCACCGCTCCCCTCCGCCTGTCCCATGCCTTCCCCCTCCGTCCTCTTCTCGCCCTCCCTGTCATCGTACGTGCCCCCTGCACCCTCGTGCGGTCTCTGAGGGAACAAAGAAGGTACCGCTACCCGCTCACTCCTGGGCCATCTTCTGGGCCGCTTTCCGACAGGGACTGCGAGGAGATCCAGCCATGACCACTGGGGCCCCTCTTGAAGACCCAACCAAAAAGTCAGAACGAAGGAAGGATATTGTGTTTAGGACATTGTTGCTCGGAGTCAAAGTGATACCCATAGCGCTAGCCCACGGACCTCCCCCAGGGTGTGCTCTGACCACAAGTTCGAGGAAAACAAATTCGTCGATGATAATGCAGCCGTGGAGACGAGAGCTCTTCAGGACGAGAGGCGGTGTCCCCTGAGATCCGACGTCGCGAACCTGAGGGATCCACGAACCCGCTAAGGAATGTGAGACACACTTTCTTCTGAAACGCGTGCTACACTTTCCATTTCCCTCGTCTGGACTGCCACCGCTACCACCTGCCGTTCCTCCTCCTCCTCCTCCTCCTCCTCCTCCTCCTCCTCCTCCTCCTCTTCCTCCTCCTCGTCCATTATCATCATCAGCATCATCATCATCATCATCAGCAGCAGCAGCATCAGCATAGTCATCATCATCATCAGCAGCATCATCACCATCAGCATCATCATCAGCATCATCATCATCAGCAGCATCATCAACATCATCAGCATCATCATCATCAGCGTTCAGCAGAAGTACATGCAACACCTCAGGGGTCACTCCGAGTGGCTACTGTTTCTTCTACGCCTACTCTTCCTGCGCTACCTCCTGGACCAGGGGATGACGCCCAAGCAGAGAGCGTCGTGGCGACTCCCGCTGGACTCCTCCCAGGGCTCGAAGGGCTCTGGCGCCGCCTCCAGCGCCGCGGCAGGTCAGAAGGCGACAAAGGCTGCACGCCCGCCAGGCCCGCCGCCGCCGCAGAGGCGATCGCGATCACCACGAACACCAGCCGAGGAAGGGGGAGCAACCGCGCCAGCAGCCACGCCCATCGAGGTGGACGAGGGAGACAACGGCGAGAAGGATATGAAGACCGACCAGCCCAGCCGACGCCCAGCCCGCCGCGGAGGACGCCGCGGGCGCCGCGGCACTCACAACCCCAAGGCCTGGAGCAGCAAGGACAAGAACTTGCTGGACCTGCTTCGGTCGACCCTGAAGCTGCTGCTCCAGACAACGCACAAAACCAGGCTGAACTGCAGCATCAACACGGACACCTACACGATGAGCAACGAGCACCCAGTGATCATAGCCATCACGCAGGAGCTCGAGGGCTACAAGCACACCTTGGACTCTCTCAGGAAGAGCGGCACCCCAGAGGACAAGAAACGCCTGCAGGAGATAGGGTCTCCAGCCCCGTCCCTCGCGCTGGCGGCCTTGGAAGGACTGCACAAGTGCGACGTGGGCGGATCCATGAAGGGTGCCATACGGAACTACCTGCTCCGAGCGGAGCCCGAGGACATCGAGGCGGAGGCGGAGATCAGCAAGGAGGATCTCCTCGACGT